TTTTGCTATTTTAGCTTTTAGATGTTTATATACTATATATATATATATATATATATATATATATATATATATATATATACCGTTACTAAATATGAACTTTGAGCTACTAATTACTAATAGAAGCTAAAGTTTTACTGATTTAAACGTTTATCTGACGCTTTTGAAATTTTAGCTACTGTTTGGCTAATTTTAGCATTTAGGCACTGTTGCAAATTTAGGCATTTAGCTACTTGTTTGCTAATTATATATATAGTTTAACTAAATATGAAATCTGAGCTATAATTACTCAGCTTTTAGTCAAAGTTACTGATTTAAGCTTTTAGCTACTGTTGATAGTTTGAACTTTTAGCTACCGTTTTCCTAATTTAGGTTATACACTTAAATACTTATTACAAAGTATGAACTTTGAGCTATGAATTAAGCTTTTACCTAAAGTTTACTGATTTAAGCTTTTAGCTACAGTTTTGCTAATTTTATCTTTTAGGTACCATTTTGCTCAAGTTCAATTCAACTTTTTCATTTTACCATATGTGGTACACGAGGTGGAACGAAATCAGTAACTTTAGCTAAAAGCTTCTATTAGTATTAGTAGCTCAAAGTTCATATTTAGTAAACGGTATATCAGCATACATGTGGGAGTGGTGGCACTGAGGTTGGAGGTGGTTGGCCTCTGATCAGAAGATGGCCAGTTCAACTCCCAGTACAGACATCAAAAATGTGGGTGGGACAGATGAAACATCCACACCTGCCTCCACCCTCATTTGCTCCACTCTGGGCCCTTGAGCAAGGCCCTTAACCCCCACCATCTGCTCCCCCGGGCGCCCAAGATCGCAGCGCTCTGCTCCACACAGAGGGCTGTGGTAGCTCGGTGAAGGGCATCCAGCGTTAAATCAATTGCCAAGTCTTCGTGTGACTTAGTTCACTGTGGAGACCCCTGAAGAAGGGAGAAGCCGAAAAAATATTAAAGGATCCACAAACTAAAATTAGCCAAACAGTAGCTAAATGCCCAAATTAGCACAACAGTACCTAAAAGCTAAATGTAGCCGAACAAGGCAAGTTTCTTTAGGCTGCTCCTTTCTGCGAGGATCACCACAGATTTGGTCGTTTTACACTTCCTGTGCTTGAACCAGCAGCTCCAAGGCGATTAACCCATCGAGCAGCCGAAACAGTAACTGAAAGCTCAAATTTAGCTCTGCACAGCTAAAATAAAACGGGTGCGCTGATGTAGATTTGATGAGACGTGCAAAGGATTTGTAATATTATAAAAGTTACAGAAAAGCTTCAATAACCTGAACAAGCTGAACATTTTGATATAAACCTGGTTAAAAATAGCTAAAAGGAAAAAAACTGACTTTCAGCTACTGCACCAGATTGAAATACGATCAGCCGTTCAACTTGTGCGAGTAAAATAAAACGCACCACGTTTTGTCTTCAACATCTTTATTCGTCTTTTTTTCATAATTTTTATTTGTACTGAAATTCATACGGTGTCTTCTGAAGGTTTTTTTTTTTTCCTTTTAAAACAACTTCTGTCGTCTAAGTCGAACAAAAATCACCAAAAATGATTTCATGTTGTAAAATCCACCTGGCGGACATTCCCTCATCGGCACCTCCGGGGCGCCGTTCGACAGCTGTGGTCCAGCACTGGTGCGAGGAAGTTCCCCCTTTAAACCAGAGGCCGCGCCGCCTCAAGACCCGGAGCGGCAGCGGATCCGGACCCGAGTGCTTCCTGTCGGATCGAGCTCAAAGTGCAGCGGGCGTCTGCGTCGCCGCCGGGAAACGCCAAATTAAATAAGAATCGCTGCTAATACCACAAATGAGGTTCGACAAATACTGAATCTGCTCTTTTCAGCTTCCGGTTGACTCGATCCGTTTCGTTTTACAAGTATTACGCTCACAAATAAGAAGGTGGGCTTTAGAAATCTTTGACCACAAAAGAATTATGGTTTAAAAGTAGAACTTCCTCAAAAAAGAAGAAAAAAACGTTTGTCCTCTGATTGGACCAAAAAAAAAAAGGGTGCAATACTGTCCACCACCTGCTCCGCGCTAAACCAGACTGATCGGACGACCCCCAGTAGAAACCAACAACCCATCCTCAAAAAAACACAAAGCGTAGAAAATAAAATATCTGAGAACTTTATCTGGATGACTTGAAGCAGGAAGCAGCGGAGGCTGCGTTTCAGACCGAACACCTACCCCCGCCCCCCTCGAGGCTCAGACGACGACGTCGTTACTTAGATGCATGATTTAGACCTCTGCTCCCGTTAGCTCGGCTAAATAAATCTGGACTTCCACATAAATCGGAACAATAACTTACGCTGTTCTACAAACTTTAAATTATTTGCCAAGCGTGGCGAGGTAGGTGTTTGGGTTTGGAACGGAGTCGCTGTGATGTCACCGGGAGCTTTGGACCTTAGAGTGAAACGATGCGTTTCCAAAGCGGCAGAACCTCAGCGAAACCCCCTTAAAATGGTTTTCCCCTCTCTAACCTCGCTGCTACAGAAACCCTCAAACCAGCTGGCGTTGATTGTTCCCTAATCTGTAAAAGAAAAAGAAAAATCTCTGCGTTAATCTGAATAAATGTGAGCTGTAAATGTTTTGGATTCGAGTTCGCTCCCGGGTAGCTGCCACAGTTGGAAGGGAGCCTCGCTGAGGTCTGCGCGCTTTGGAAGCGACGACGGTCGTCACCTGAAATGTGATGAGGGTGCCTGCAGTGGGGCGGCGCTGGTACCACCCCCGACCCGAACCCGTTAACGGAGTCCCTCGGTTTACAAGAAACAAACGGAAAACAAAAAAAACAATAAAGAGGAAACGAAAAACAAAAAAGAGAAATCCCCTCACCCCCCAGCTGGGCCTGCCGGCACGCCACCGACTTCAAGTGTGTGCGTTTGAGTGTGTGTGTGTGTGTGTGTGTGTGTGAGAAGTGTGTGTGTGAGAAGTGTGTGTGTGAG